CTACAGTAAACTACCATCCCCTGGGAAAGATCCCTGGGGCCCACCTTGCTGAACCTGGGAAATCAAGGCTGAAAAAGGTTTTCAGCTGGATCTGAGCTTAATCCTGAGCTGCATTTTCGTTCACGCTCAGCCTCTGCATCCCCCACCCTAGATTTTGATTCTTGTTGGGCCTCTGCATGCCCCACCCTAGATTTTGATTCTTGTTGGGCCTCTGCATGCCCCACGCTAGATTTTGGTTCTTGCTGAGCATGTGCGTGCCACAAGCTAGATTCTGGTTCTTGCTGGATCTTTCGACATAATGCTAGGCTCGATCTTTCAACATACGCCACGCTCGATCCGGGTTTTTGCTGATTCTCTTGGCATGGCAGCAAACCGGACCCTGGTTCTTCCTGGCCTCTCAGCGTATTCCCAGGCTGGATCTAAGTATTGGCTGGATCTTTTGGCTTTATCTGAGGCTGCATCCTGGTTCCTGCCAACCCCACCGATCTACTTCCGGACTGGGTCCTAAGTTACTGCTGGTTTTGGAACCAGAAGCCAGTAACCGGTTTCTGGCAAGACATCCTGGAAACCAGGCGACTTTCTGGCCGCCATAAGCTACGTCCTACGGCTGACTGATCAGACCGAGTAAAACGACGTCAAAACACGTTTTCGGGGTGTCCGTGCAGCTTTTCATACCCGCAAAGCAGCACTGGTTCCATTTAAAAGAAAACACTTTTCACTCCAGTAAATAACATAAGACCGCCTAAGGTGATGATCCATGACCCGCCGTGCCCTCGGCCTCGACTGACAGTCATCAGTGCGGCGATGACGGTATACTGTAAGCGCCAGCTACCATATTTTGTGAGATGGAAGATCAGGCTTCACATAACGTAAGTTGTTCAATCCATTTGCGGGGAACATGATGCACGTAGAGAAGACAGTAGTAATAGCCTTGTTCCTCGGAAAAACGGGGAATAGAGATATGGATGCACTGATATTTCGGCAACGTGTCTTCATCGAAACGAACAGCAGAAGTGAAAGAGTTCTTCTGCTATTGGTTTCGATAAAGGCATGTTGCCGACGTATGAAGACATCTTTATCCCCATTCTCCTGCTTTCTCCGAGGAATAAAGCTGTTACTACTGTCCTACCAGACTTCACATGTATCATTCCACCATTCTTAATGCCTCCATTTGCAAACGTGGGTCATCTTGGTTCACATTAAGCCAGCCTTAATGGGCTAATCTGAAGCTGAATCCCGAATTATCAAACTAATATGTTAATATCTGACATAAAAATGTCAAGACTTGAATGACCAAAATAGCCAACTCCCCTAAATCGCACTTTTCAGCTTTGCAACCTCATGCACAGAAACAATGTCTCGTAGCTACACAACACTTAAAGAGCCGTGTTCTTTGTTCAATTCTGAGTGCCACTGTGAATAATTTCTCGTTTTTAACACATCTTTATGACGTAGGGCTCCGTTACTGTGATCAAATCGGGCCGCCGCGCCGACCGTGGATCGTCGTGCAGTGTTCCTCAAAAACCGCTGCTGCACCGAAACCAGACACGCTGGGGACGTGTTTCGATGTCAAAACACGCGCAATGGATGCCACATAGACTACTGAAAATATGGGCGCAGTTGCACGGCATGCCGGAGACGTATCCTCAAAAAACATTACGGGTTGGGTCGCATCCCCGCTCCCCAGCCTTATCAGGGCAAGGGTAAGACAAGACACCAAATGTAGACAACCTCACCCCATTGTGATTGAGCCTTATTATTCCATTGCATCTTAAAAAGCTTGCAGCACAAGGTACAACTAACTCCTGACAACAAAAAGGCTTTCATGCATAGGCACAGAAAGTTTCATCTCCTGACAGCCTAAAACTTTGGGCTGCAAAGGCTTGACTGATTTTCGCATACTGCTAAAGCGCATCCACATGGCACGGATGGACGAGTGCACAGTATAGTCCCCTCCCCAACCACTTCTGCTGTACACGAGCAGGCACAACATCATTTGTGCGTGTTCGTGCAGCGCGCGTGCAGCCTGGAGCCACAGACCCAGCACGCACACATTCGTGGGAGGCGAATGGTGGTGGCAGGTAGTGCTAAGTAAGCGGCGATGGGTTAACAGCGGTGGGCAAGAGGAGGTGATCGTGTAACGGTGGACAAGTGACAATAGGAGAGTGACGTTGGGTGAGTGCGTTGGGTGAGTGGCGTTGGGTGAGTGGCGTTGGGTGAGTGGCGTTGGATGAGTGGCGTTGGGTGAGTGGCCTTGGGTGAGTGGCGTGGGTGAGTGGTTGGGTGAGTGGTGTTGGCTGAACAGCATTGAGTGAGTGGGTTTGGGCGAGTGGGCGTTGGGCGAGTGGCGTGAGTGAGCGGCTTTGGGCGAGCACATTGGGTGAATGGCTTTGGGTGAGTGTGCGTTGGGTGAGTGGCGTTGGGCAGTGGCGTTAGGTGAGTGGCATTGGGTATGCAGAGTTGGGTAGGTGGCATT